CATTAACTAGCTAAAGTAACAACCAAGCTCAATTTGAAAATGCATTTTTGGTTGCACATAAACAAATTAAATGGCAATTAATGTTAAATGAAGTTAACTCAATTAAGTTTACTATGTTAACATTGCTGCTAATGGTATTGTAAGCAATACTTCCTTTGCTTTGAATTTGAATTTGTTTACAGCCTATCTCAACCTTGCAAGGCCTTGCTTCTGGGTTTGAGGTTGAGCTTTTAGCGTTGTGTCGAAATTTGCCAAAGCATTTGCGGGGGGCGTAGCCAGTGGGGTAAGGTAAGGTAGAGTAAGATAGGGTAGAAATACCATAGGACTAGCTTAAGATAAGGCTGGAGTAGGCTAAGGTATAGTCACGAATACTGCAGGTGTAGCGATGCCAGTAGGGTAATATAAGGTACGGTAAAGTTGAATACGGTAGCATAGGCTGGTGTAGGATTAGGTATGTTCCGGAGTAGGACAGGAGTAGTTATGGGTGCAGTAGGACTTTTCGGGCGGGGAGGGTGAAGTAGAGTATGGCAATATGAAGTTGAGTAGCCTAGGATAGGGGAGTTCAAAGCACAGCAGGGCAGGACAGAGCAGGGCAGGCAAGGCAAGGCTAGGGTAAAGTAAAATAGGCTAAGTTAGGGTGGGGTGAGCCTAGATGAAAGTAGTGCCAATGTTTGTGAGCTTTTAGTCACATTTTAATGAATAATACAGTAATTGATCTAACTCAATTACTTTTTTTTCATATTACATTTGAATAGCAATATATGTATCTCGAACTAAATAAAATTTATTATTCTGTATGTCGTTTTCTCACAAAAAACAATTGTACAAGTTCATTTACATTCGCAATTTAGAATGCAAATGTTTTTGAGTATTCAGTTTGGTACTATGGGGGAGGGAAGAGAGGCTTTGGTATAGTGAAAATTATCACAATTAAATTGTTTTATTATGAATGTAGTGCTTCTACCTTACTTCATCTTATTTTACTGTACTAAACTTTACGCTTACTTTGCTTACGATACCTTATACTTATATCAATCTACATTAATGTTACTCCTTGAAAGCAGGATTTTAGGTAACAAAGTGCTTTCAAACCAAGAAAAGTGAAGTTTTAGGTAACAAACTCCTTGCTATCAGATTGTTCAAATAATTTTGTGCCCTTTAAATAAAATTTTCAAAAACCTTGTTTAAATAATTCTGTACCCCTAAATAAAATTTTTAAAAATTGGGTTTAAATAATTCTGTGCTCCCTCTAACTTTAAAAATTTGCTTTTAGGGGGGGGGGGCACAAAATTAGTTGAATAATCTAAAAGAGGCACAGAATTATTTGAACAACGTAAAAGAGGCACATAATTATTTGAACAACCAACTATAAAAAGCATCTGCCATTTCCAATGTTAAGGTTAAGAAGATTTCATCTACATCTTATCGTAATGTCAAGCTTATCCTGATGCATAGTTAACATCATTAACAAACTTGTACATGTAATATATGCACATATTCAACTCTGCTTAATGAATAATTTGTCGATTTCCATTTATACGGCAAGTTTTCTCTATTTGAATATATATTATAGCACGATGGTAAACATTTTTGGTACCTACATACTATGTTATTCACAATTAATGTGCTATATTATGCAGAACGGAAATATTAACCTTCTAAGCTACATTAGCCATGATATTTGCAGTGAGTATACCTAGTAAAGTAACTTATTCGCAGTGAATATATCTTGTATTAATGTTAACTTCTAGTAAAGTAACTTGCCAAATTATGCTAGCGTAACATATTATGGTATTTATCACATATTGAGTATGTGAATGCCATGGAAAGAAGTTCCTGGCACTGCAAAAGGTTTCTGGGACTATTTTAAGTTTTGATGCATATATGTAATATTAGGTAAACAATGCTTGTTTTAAAGTTTGAGTACAGCATAATAAAGAAAGTCATATATACGTAATGAATTTATTAACATTACTATATACATACTACGTAGAACATTATAGCACTAGTAAAACACGATAATACTAATAAGGAAGAGTAATAGAGTTAACTGACATGAGCACCTAAGTACTAATAGGGCCCTATTATACTAGCTGATCCACATAGTAATAGTAGAACAACATAATGCTAGACAAGTTTCATAGTACTAGTTGAGCAACTCAACACTATTAGAGCTTCAGAGTTTTAATACTAGCTGAGCAACATAGTACGGGTAGAGCACTATAGTACTAGTAGATAACCGTTGTACCATTTGAGCGACATATTCTAGTACCGTAACGTCTTATAGTACGAATGAAACAACGTTGTACTAATAGAATACTATGGTTTTAGTTGAGTATCATAGTAGTTGTTGACCAAACTAGTAAAACGTTATAGGACTACTAAAGCACGGTATGAACCAGGTATTAGTCTTAGGAAGCGATTTTTCTTACTTGTATTTAAAGCAAAGCATAATTCAATACTGTCTTGCAGTATAAAAATATTAGTCAGTACTGTCTTTAAGATCCTTATCACAATACCTTTCAACCCCTCAGTACTTTCCCAGTACAAAATCTTTTTTATACAAAAAAAGACATTTTTAATACTGCCCAAAATACCACCGCAAAACTCATTGATTAGCACGTTTAATATTCGATTAATAACCAGAACTTGCTTGAATAATCTTGTTTCAATTAAAAAATGCTAAATTATTACCGTATGCACTACAAATTGTTATTGTTTTCGTTGGCTTTTACATATCAAATCACATTTGGTCCGTAGTAGCTGAAAATGTCCGACAAAATCTTTTCGCTATACTAATAAAGGCCAATGTAATATGCGGTCAACTGTATATCTAATGTAATATGTGATGAAGTGTACACCTAGTGTAATATCTGATGGTGTTAGGGTAGGGTAGGGTAAGATAGGGTAGGGTAAAGTAGGGTAGGGTAGGGTAGGGTAGGGTAGAGAAGGGTAGGGTAGGGTAGGGTCAGGGGTAGGGTAAGGTAGGGTAGGGTAGGGTAGGGTAGGGTAGGGTAGGGTAGGGTAGGGTAAGGTAGGGTAGGGTAGGGTAGGGTAGGGTAGGGTAGGGTAGGGTAAGGTAGGGTAGGATTTGATAGTTTTTGGTTTAGTAGGCTTTCAAACGTTTTCAACTTTTTCGGTTTACTGATATATAGGCCTTCTGCCACTATCACCATATTGTTTTCCAGGACCAATATAACATCACTTTACTATAACATAAATCTCTTCAACTATAAATATGTTTACTGTACGAGCAAATGAAATTTACAAAATTTCTGGGAAATTGGTGTCTCAAACTGTCTGCGACAGGCTTGTTTTCATCTGTTTTGACCTGTTTACAGTGTATTCGGACATTGTGAATAGGCTATTTAGTGTTTCCGCAAAGTGCGCTCTGTTCTGGCAGTGTTTTTCCGCGTTTTTTCTAAAAATATCGACCTAATGAGACGGTTATTAATATCATAATTTGTTTTGTACGTGCTGAATGGACTGAAATTGGTCCAGGTTGACTTTGAATTGAGTTGTTACTGAATGTTTTTGTTATAGATAATGGTAAAATACGGTCACTTTGAAATATGAGTTGGTAGGGTATTCAGAAAGCGGTAGGAAACGGCAGAGTAAAGTAGGGTAGGAGGGAGTATCAGGCTTAAGAGTTTTTTAATTGCGGTGGGCCAAGCCTAAAAATTGTTTGAACGGGCCGAGCAAAGCTTGAGAGTTTTTTGGTCGGGCTGGGACAAGCTTAAGATTTGTTTGATCGGGTCGTGATAGGCTTAAAAATTTTTTACCAAATTGTGCCAGGCCTAAAAATTCTTTGGTCGGACCGGGTCAAGCTTTAGAATTTTTCGATTGGGCCGGACCATGCCTTAAGAGTTTTTTGATTGAGCCGCGCTAGACTAAAGAACTTTCTTTTTAGCCAGGCCAGGCCTATAATTTTTGAATGAGTCAGGCCAAGTCTGATTTTTTTTGATTGGATACTAAGCCTAAAGATTTTTGATCTGGCCGGGCTAGGCTTAAGAGCTTTTTAAAAAGGGCCGGACTGGTCTTAAAAATTTTTTGATTGGGACAGTGCCGAGCCTGGAAAGTTAAGACTAGAACACTGGGCTAAGGCTCTGGGGCTAGGGCTTTGGGCTAGGGCTCTGGGCTAAGGCTTTGGGGCTAGGGCTCTGGGCTAGGGCTCTGGGCTAGGACTGTGGGCTAGGGCTCTGGACTATGGTTCTGGGCTAGGGCTCTGGGCTAGAGCTCTGGGCTAGGGTTTTGGGCTAGGGCTCTGAACTAAGGCTTTGGGCTTGGGCTAGCTTCGGGTTAGGGCTTTGGGCTAAGGTCTGGGCAATGACATTTACTTTGTGGACAAGTCTTAATACGTCTTTGTGTAACAATCATATTATCCTTTACATCTTTTAACAGTTTCTTTGCCAGATTACCGTTAATCTCTGACTCACTGTGAATGTCAAAACCTTACTAATTGCTTTTCATTAAATTTCGGGGATTTTCGGGATTAATGTCACATTGTCTCATAACATTTGTAAGTAATTAAACATAATGGGCGTGGTAGAAACAAGAATAGATTTTTTGACATTTTTTGCAAATTTATTTGTATTTGAATATCGAATTGCACGCTCGGTTTGTAGCTTTTTGTTGTTTTTGTAGCTGCAAATGACAACCAACGGGTTTAAAAAGTAAACCGGCTGTTTACTCTTGGCAAACTAGCAAATAACACACTAACATACTGTATAGGGGTTTATAAGGGCAACTTTTTTGAGTTTATTATTAGAGATTGGCAACTTTTTTAAAATTTTTTTAATTATTGAAAAAGATGAGCTCAACTCGTGTTAAGTGGAAGCTTGAGGCTGTATAAAGGAGGAGAAAGTAAATATTAAAGCTTTTTTGTCTTTGGCTCACAGTCAATGTGCTAATATGCTAAAGGACTAAGAACAAGGCTTAGGTTGAGGTTCAAGCTCAGGATCAAGATTAGGCTGTGGCTGAGGTTGACAAACTGTGAGTCAATGGCTGTGGCGTTAGTCTCTGCTTCCTTATTGCTCCATTCTTGAGTTAAATTTAGTAATTATAAGATAAAAATAAACTGACATTCATAGATTCTTTAAAAATTTAGTTAGCTGTTTTTGACAAGTCTGCAAATGCAGAAATGTTAACAGTTCATTTGTTTTGACATTTATGGTGTTTGTTGAATTATATTTTCTTATAAAACAAATTTTTGTATTTTAGCGAAGAAGGCTTGAGGTATAGGTTATAGTTACGGCTTGAAGTAAGGTTAAGTTTTGGTTAACGCTAACTTTAATTGTTGGGCTAAACTAACGTCTATATTAATGTTAAGACAAGGCTCTGCTCATGCTCATGCTCATGCTCATGCTCATGCTCATGCTCATGCTCATGCTCATGCTCATGCTCATGCTCATGCTCATGCTCATGCTCATGCTCATGCTCATGCTCATGCTCATGCTCATGCTCATGCTCATGCTCATGCTCATGCTCATGCTCATGCTCATGCTCATGCTCATGCTCATGCTCATGCTCATGCTCATGCTCATGCTCATGCTCATGCTCATGCTCATGCTCATGCTCATGCTCATGCTCATGCTCATGCTCATGCTCATGCTCATGCTCATGCTCATTCTCATGCTCATGCTCATGCTCATACTCATGTTTATGCTCATGCTCACCGTCAGGCTTAACCTTAAGCTAAGATCAAGGCTAAGTTGAGACCAGAGCCAGAGCTAGTTTCTTTGAATACAAACTTCGTACTGAATCATATGTTATTCTTTGTCTACTAAAATATACACTACAATCAACCTTCTCCCCTTTATTATCTTATGCTTTCCCTACAAACTAAAACTTTTTGTTTACATAATTTGAAAAATGGCCACCTAAAAATTAATTTTGGTTCGATTTGCTGACGTTGTGTCTATTTCTGTCGCCAAACGTATAATTTGAAATTACACAGTAGAATAACAAATACCACTTAACTTCGTCTTGGTCTTAAGATTCGAAAAGTCACATTTTTGAGTTTAAGTGTAAAGTCGAGGAGGGGGAGAGTGGGTATATTAGGGTCATATTGTAGTACATACAACATCTCGTACTATGAAGGTTATGTATTTTGATGAGTTAAGATATGAAAAAATATACATTCTGGGGTAGCGTTGGATAAGTAAGAGTAGATTTAAGCACCATAAGGGACACACTGGGTAGGGTAAATGGAGGTAGAGTAAGATGAAGTATGATAAGGTAAAGTAGGGTATATTTTCCAATTCACCATCTTAAAAATGACGTTTTAGCCAAGCAAACACCACGTACAGTATTAAAGTCATTTTATGTTTACAAGTTTTTGTTTTTCAACATGCAATTAACCAAAGCTCACCAAACTTGTGCACGCTTCAGCATAATCTCATATATCTTGACAACACTCGTTTGCATAATGTTTTCTTCCGGTCGTACCTGAACGTTCTTCGTATCGTGCGCCGAGAGTTTCGCGGATTCCGAGAAAATTTTGTTTAAAACATTAGATTATTGGAACGGAGATTGGTGGATAATAAGCTCAAAGTGCAATTGGATGGCATGACGAGAAGAGGCAGATTTTTGTTTTATAATTACTATTATGAATAGAAGTTATTTTTGTTACTGTAGTGAGGGGCTAGCATTTCAAGCTTTAAAAGAAGAACAACATATTTTTTACTTTTTGCTATTGTTTAATACAGTAAACCTGTGTATAACGAATCGCTAGGGGAATTGAAATCTGTTGGTTATGAAGAGGTTTCGTTATATATAGGTTTTAAATGCACTTTGTAGTGTTTGCCGGAGATTTAAAGGTTAAGTGTTATACAGGGGTTTTGTTGTAAAGAGGTTCTGAGGTTCCACTGTATTTTATGTTATATAATAGGTAAAGATTGAGAGAAAAATTTTGTTATAGGTAACGCTTGGGAAAAGATAAAGTTTAAACTAAAGTTAAGACTAGGTCGCTTGAGCTTAATTCTAGGCTAAAGTTTATTGCAAGGCTAATATTGTGGCAAAGACTAAAACTAATATAGAAAACTTAGACTAAGGCTAAAGCTAAGGCAAAACCTAAGATTAAGACTAACGCTAAGGCTAAGGTAATGAGAAACACTTAATTTTAAGGCTTGTTTAATGAAGATTTATTGTAAATATATATGCAGTAAATAATAACTGTATAGCAAACTACAAAAGGATTGAAACATCGTTTGCTTTAGCGGGGTTTTGATACATCCGAAATTTTTATTTATGAATCAGTGCAAATTTTTTTTCTAAGGGATTTAAAGACTCGCTAAAACAAAGGTTTTGTGGTAAGCGGAGTCCTATCAGCGAATTTTCATTGTATATTAAATGTAAAATACTCCAAAAATCATTATATTTTTTATACAAAAAAAGAAATTATTTATTTTTGCACATTTTGAAATTTTTGCAATATGCAATTTGGTTTGAAAGTGTCTCTTTTTAAGTTTTACATACAAAATTATTGTTTTGTAACTTTGTAAATTAATATTATCTTAACGTCTGCTTTGTACGTGGTATTTAAAATGTCGTAATGTGCATTTTTAGAGTTTTTTATCTTAAAATACTGGGTTTACATTGTAAAATACGGTGTTAGTAAGTAGAGCAAGATTTTTATAGTTATTGAAAGGCGTGTAGAACGAAACTTCTGTATAACAAGCAACTTTCGAATCTCTAGCTAATACTATAAAGAACATTTAAAACTGCTGTAATACGAAACTCATTGATAACGATCAAGGTTAAAAGCCCCATACCATTTGTTATACAGGAATTCAGAATAAGGCTAAAGTACGGTAGAGCTAGTATTAGGTTAGAGTAAGGTTGGAGTAGAGATATAAGTTAGGATAGATCTAGGCTAGATTTTGAACGCGGTATAGCTTGAGAAGTCAGATCTCTGGGTATACCTCCTTTTGCACACTTTTCATTCATAAAGCTGACACTTTCACCTGTCATAATACGATTCAAAATTGAAAAAAAAAGTTTTTGACTGCGTAGACATTGTATAATTAGTAGGGCCCGCTTTTTCGGAAAATGGCCAAGTTTTTGGAACCAGGCCACCTGGGTGGGATTAATTATTCATCGAGAAGGGCGTTGCATTTCATTTCCATAACACTGCTTGTTGAAGGTCGGGAGAGATAACAAGATTTTTTTAGGTGAGGAGATGATAATGATGTAGGGTAGGGTAAGATAAGGTAGGGCAGGGTGTTGTAGAGTAGAGAAAGGTAGGGTGAGTAGGGTAGGGTAGGGTAGGTAGGGTAGGGTAGGGTAGGGTAGGGTAGGGTAGGGTAGGGTAGGGTAGGGTAGGGTAGGGTAGGGTAGGGTAGGGTAGGGTAGGGTAGGGTAGGGTAGGGTAGGGTAGGGTAGGGTAGGGTAGGGTAGGGTAGGGTAGGGTAGGGTAGGCTAGGGTAGGGTAGGGTAGGGTAGGGTAGGGTAGGATTGGGTAAAGTAAGACCGCGCTTACTGGACCCACTTGCAAGCTCAGTACCTTTTCAATATGCAAATTTTTAGTTTACTATAACCTTGAATTGAGTTTTACCATATGACCTTAAGATGTACCGTAACCCCCACATCCGGCCCAATTTCCAAGAAATGGACTAAACTCGCCTTGTTATGACATGAATTTTCGGTCCGGCATGACGCGAATTCGAAAACAGTTTGAGCAGTCCAGAAACACTGACGTTTTGACACTTCTTTTATGGGGGTGGTGCCAAATATTGGCGTAGTGGGAGGAGAGAGATGGGCCACAAACAACACCTTTTTTGTTAGTGGGGGCTATTAACTCGGCATGTATTTTAAGTTAAAGAGGTAGGGGTAGGGCTATTTTTTTTTGAGAGGAGGGAGGGGGGGAGGGGTGTTTTTTAATTTTTTAGGTGGAGGGGGGGGGTTGAGGTAGTACTAAAGTTAAGAAATGGAGTAATATGGAATTTAAAGGGAAGAGCAATATTGAATTTAGAAGGGGGGGGGGGTACTATAAAATTTAGGAATGGAGTAACATTGACTTTTGAATAAGCAGTTCAATATATTTTTGAAAAACCTTGTTCAAATAATTCGGTGCGTTTTTTAAATTTTTTATAAATTTGAGAGCCCTATTTATGTTGTTCAAATAGTTCTGGGCTCCCTTTAGATTGTTCAAGTAATTCTGGGCCCCCTTTAGATGGTTCAAATAATTCTGGGTCCTCTTTAAATTGTTCAACTAATTCTGAGCTACCCCACACCGAAAATTTCTCTTTAAAAGGGCTCAGAATTTTTTGAACAACTTAATGTGTTGTATTTACCTTACAGTATCATGTTTTATGCCCTGTACTTTAAAAAAAATTTTTTTTGTAATTTTCTTTACCATTTCAATGTTTTTTTTCAATCTAGACATAAAACTTTCGTTCTCTTAGACAACAAGATAAATTTAACTTTATTTGAATTTGAAAAAAAAGTTTAAAATGATTACAATTGGACGTGTGACGTTAAGTGTGACAATAGAAAAACATGACTATAAAACAATGATGCTTTTCAGTTTTACTATAGGTTTTTTTTGCGTTTTAAAACAGTTTAAAGTCTAAACATAGGTTAAAGTCGAGTTCAGGCTAGAATAAAACTAGAGCTAGGGTACAAGTAAAATAAAACTAATTGTAAGGTGCGGCAGGACAGAAACAAGTTAAGGGTAGGGTAGCTCTAGACAAGGGTATCGCTTGGATTTTGGGTTATGATACAACTAGGAGTAAAAAGAAGCTATAGTAGGGTACAGCTACAATAGGATAAAGCTAGGGTAAGGAAAAACTAAGGTGGGATGGATAAAAGTATGATAATGTAGAGTATAAGGCAAGGCAAGGCAAGGCAAGGCAAGGCAAGGCAAGGCAAGGCAAGGCAAGGCAAGGCAAGGCAAGGCAAGGCAAGGCAAAGGCTAGGGTTCTGGGCAAGGGCTCCGGACTAGCTACTTTTCACTGTCGTATTTTATACAAATATACACTAGTTAATGGCCTTTTATATAATAATACTATGATGTTGTTTAATTTCATACTGACACCCGGTCTAAAGTACTGTACCTAGTTTTCAGTGTTTTAATAGTATGATTACTGTGTTGTTGTTTTCTAAAGTAGCAATAATAAGGAAACGATCCCGAGGAATCCTTAATGAATATTTGTAACATAATTGCTTGTACATATACTATTACACATAATACGAAAAACAGTCTGTGTTACATATAATATGACCCAGAATAAGACAACAGTCTATATTACATATTATATACTATAACACACATTAGGACTTCTTCCTTGTTATGTATTATGACATGTTGTAAAGTGGGCGATACGTTGAAAAACTCTTCGGATTAACATGCCACGTAGCTTATCGTATTTAAACAATGGAACGGATGTTTACTCGGCCATAAAAAGGTAGTGTAAACGATGTGATAAACATAACGTGGCCACGGATAATCTCTACTGTGTTTTGAGGAGCTGGGATATTAACCATGAGTTGTTATATGTGTAGTAGATCAAAGTTTAAGTTAACATGGGTTATATATATAAATAGGTGAAGTATGGGCGTGGTGTCAGTGAGAAGGTATTCGTGAAACATACTGAGTACTTAGGTGTATATTTATAGTACTATATAAATTTTAATTTCTTTGGGTGTTCTACTATATAGTATCAAATTGTTTTGAAGTGTAATGTAA